GAAACCAACTGTAGACGAGCTTTGATTTCAGGCACCAAATTGTGCGTTATCAATCTCCATTTACAGTAACATTCTGGCCGGCATCTGTTTTAAAGAAATATTAACCGACGATTCCATCGTCCAACAAACTTTTGCAAATACCTATAATTTTACATATGATATTAGCTGATCAAGCTATTTCCTAACCTAGCAGTTTGAAAAACCACTGTGCTTCAGCTGCAAATTCCTCTTTATATACTGTCCTTTAAACTTAAAAGCAAAGATCACAGCAATATCGTTAAACTTATTGAAACATGAATTATAAATTCGAAGTGTAGAGCTGCCTTTAAACCTATAAAAAAGAACAAATTTTTAAACTCATGTCCGAAAATTGAATGTAGTGAAGGCAGACAAATAGAAAGATATTTCAGGATAGGAATTTATGGATAGGACACGTTGAAGACATTTATGATACAAAGACCAGCATAGAAACGCTTTTAAAAAGCTGTAACAGTGAAAAACGAACAACGACCTATTAGGAGAACTAACAACGAGGACGCTGAGCAACAAAATCTGTAAAAAGATCCAGGTTAGAATCTTCGACATGGAAACTATATACCTGATCAAATGTCCGGATAAAGATGCTAACAATGTCTTTTGTAAACATTTCATGATCTACTATCTGCGGCGTTATTTTCAACAGTTATGCTTTTTGTTTAATATATGAAGGTGGTTTTTTGTACTATGGAACTTCAAATTCTGACTGTTCTTATTGGGTTCTGGCATTAATTACTATGAAATAAAAAGCTAAAAACATTTCTGTGTGAGAGAGTGTTTGTGTATTGTGCTTGTGTGTTGCATATGTATTGTTATGTGGATATGTAATCCGTTATTGTTGGCTATACTTCTTAGTGTTGACTTCTTTTTAGAAAAGACACACCCGTAAGAATAGATAATAGTCCCAGCGATGTTTGGTGTTGTGACTATGTAAAAGAAGGTGGCCATGATGACCATAATGGGTATTACAGCAGCTTATAACAAAAATATGGGCACAGAATATCGCTCTCCAATGATTGGAATATTGAAACACTTTGCACCAAACACAAACTAGGACATATCTTTGAATGCTGTAACCACAGAGAAATTACGCTTCTAAATACAGCGTCGAAATTTTTATTTTAAATTTTCCACAGTACTATGCAACCGTATGACACCATATACAGAACGGATAGTAGTAAAAGACCAAAGCTGGTTGAGAGTGGTATATCGATAATTCATCCGATTGTAATCCTGAAACAAATTTTGGGAAAAACCGGCTGAGAATATGGCATATTGATACTAATCACAACCACTCGACTTTTTTTTAGTATTGGTAACCAAAGCCTGCTACATTCTGCTGCTGATGTTTGTTACAAATTTTTCTTTATTGAGTGGGATGAGGGCTTCTTATTATATTTTCATCACACTGCAGACTGGTGGATCAACTTTTCGTGCAATGCCATACAGCCTATCAACTACTTGGGAGCGGTTAATACACTCCAAAATCTCCTAAACAATCTTTTTTAAAAACGATTTCTGTAGTAGAAACCCACCACGTCAAAATGATCATTACAATTTATAGTTTATTTTACGTTTGTGTTGCCAATTACAGCTTTATCTTAGGGCGTTATCTAAGGTTTATCTTGAGTGTTACGACCTTTGAGAAGTTAAATTTTACACAAATAATTTTAATTTACGGTTAATCATTAAGTCTACATAATAAATGTAATATTTTACAAGGTATTGAGAAGAACTAGAAAATTTTACATTGTAAAATAGGAAGACCTTGTAATTGTATTATATAGAAAATAATAAATTTATATATATTATACAAACAAAACAAAACTCACCAAAGAGTTTCACTCTAAACCACAGTTTGTAATCAAAAATAAACCCAAACATTCATTAATACTGTATTATGGCGAGTATAGTCGGGATAAATTTGCAACAAAACTTCATAAAAAGTTTTAAAATCCGAAGCTTTTCAGATATTTGAAATATATATTTAAACTTTTACTCTGAAATAAAGATAATTGTCTGTTTTATAAAAGAAAGTATGTTTTGTTATGTTGGCATCGCTGTTTGAGTTGTATTATTGACTGACTCTCAGTTGAAAAAAATCTGCACATTTTCATCCAACAGAAACTTTGCTTGTAAGTATGACAATGATATTATAATTATCTTACTTTACTGTGTTAACGGTTATGAGGAGCACTTGTAACTGGCTACCTACATAAGAGTTTTGGAAATCTTTGGATTCCTAGCCTTACTTCAAAGGACTTGTGAATGGATGTAACTCAATAGGTTTTAGTTCTTCAGTGACCGATTGAAGGATAACGGATTCTTAATATGGGCAAAATATAGCTCCAGAAAATAAAATCACACTTTGTGAGATTATCGATTTTAATAAATAAATCTTTTAAGAGTAGAAGAGGGTCCTAACAAGAGGCCCGGAACTTTACTATACAATAGTAAAATGTACTCTTTCTTTTTATAACACGTAAAAGAAAAACACCCGGATGAGAAATTGCCCGATTTCGGGCGAGAGAAGTATATGTAAATACGTGTATTGAGTTTTTTAACTATTGCGATGCCTCGATGGCGATGTGTGCACTTTGACCTGATAAAAACGACATGATGCCGTGAAACGAGAAGATTACTTTACTCCTCCATTTTATTTAGGTTTTGAAAAATATTTAACAGGTCAGAACGCGGCAGTCCAGTCGGGTGTCGCGAACAAACTTGAATCAAGTGTCTGGTTACCTTTTTTTTTTTATATTTAAAACCATATGTTCGTTTCTGGAACACCAGGTTGTATTATGAATACTGCTATAAAGCAAAACGAAATTTTTTTATGTCCTTCAATTTGCAAAACCTGGAATGAATAGTAACAAATCTTTTTCGGCTGATTTTCACGTCCTTAGATCCTTATGAATTAGGTTATATTACCGAAAAATTACTATAACGTGCCTCCGAAGATATTGGTTTCCTCAAAGTTATCAAACAGAAACCCGCTCATAAGAAGCCCGGAAGCATTCTAGTTCCATTCCTATTCAGTGATTACAAAAGGAAAGGCTTAAAAACCTTTCTTACTGAAGGAAAAGTTCCATGTTTATTTTGGGTAAGTAGATTCTTCCCGTCATCGTTTAGAATAGTTTTCCTAATAATAAAGTTCCTAATCGTACACACCATCCATCGGCGTGTCCTCCACATGGGTAAAGGGAATTAAAAATAAATCATATTTATAATTATAAAAAAAAATGTTACAAATTGTTATTGTATTACTTGCCGTCAGGTTGTAATTAAGGTGTTAAATAAATAAATGTTGTACAATTTATGATTCTCATGAGATCAATAAAATCTATCACTTTTATTTATCTGCCTTTGTAAAATTTTGATTATTAAAGCGTATTCTTCAAAACCTATAGCATTAAATTTTCGGTTTGTAGTTTTGACAACAAAATGAACAATTGAACATATACTTAAAATTCGCTGAACTTTCCTCCTGACAAACGAATCCCCATACACGTCTAAAACTGCTCTTGGTTTCAATTATCCCATGTCAGTATTTTTTAAAATGATAATTACCTTTAGAGGCTAGAAATTCTACCCAAATACCCGTCTTCTTGAAGGCATTTTCCCCTAACATTGCGCTCGTAATTGAAAAAGAAGAAGATCGTTTTGGGATCATTTTGTAATAGTAATTTTTAAATTCCCAGCTACCACTGATCTGACACACACGTGATCAAAAAATATCGTGAAATAACTACGTGAATTGTGTTACACACGGGATCCCCAATGGGTTAAACGAATTTTGCGAAAACCGTAAGTGAATTCCAAACCGAATTTAATGCGGACCCTTCTTTATCACTGGTAACTTAAATGAAGCACCGTAACTTGAATTACTTTGGCAAGTAATTGAGATCGTTGTAAGAACAATAGTAGAAAGATGATGATAATTCAGAAGATTTGGACATGTATTTTAACATAATGAAAGCCCACCCCTACTTCGCTTTACCAGTGCGACAATTTTTTAAACGAAACGTTTCCCGGTCGTTGGATAGGTAAAAGAGGTCATATGATGAATTTGACTACCTAGGTCACCGGATTTAACCCAAAACCCACTTTTCTTATGGGAGTATTTAAAAACAAAAATATGTATGTAGACGTGTTAAGCAATGTCAGAAGAGAATTTCAAAATAGATTGTAGTATTGTATGAAAGTGAATGGCATGTGAATTGGCTAATGTTTTGTACTAAAATTGTTAAAAATTTGTTTTAATTCCAGTTTTCCTTGTTTTTTTTTATTTGTTCTCATGAAACTAATCACTTCAAGTCATCATGTGTTATACTCATTTTTTGAAATCCCGTACAAAGATATGAGAATCCAAATATCAATTAAAAAAAAAGGGGAAGTAAATTCCACAAACGAAAATAAAGAGATGATCACGGGGCCGGTGAGTAGGGTGCATTTTCCCAGCAAGCTTAGAATATTGATTGAGGTGTTTTTTTTGGCGTTTTTCCTAAATATTATAATTGTTTCAAAAGTTATTTTAGGTGGATAGTTTTATCTGAAAAGTACTATATATTTACAAGTGTTCTCATTCACCCCACTTCATGTAATGAATAGCAACAGACATATTTATTTATTTTTTTGTAATATGAATAAGTTAATTTTGTTTTCCAATTGATTAACTTGTAATTCAGTATTGCATACCAAACTTAAGCACTTAAACAATATATTACTGAGTTTAAACAGAGTATCTCTGGTAATCAAAAGACAAAAAACTTTTGCTATACAGCTCATTTTACGATACTATTGAATTTTATGATTGTAAATACTTGGCTGAAAACGCAAAATATTTTTAAACATGTTAAGAATAATAAAGCAAAACGAACGTATTGATTTAAATATGTGTGATCTATAAATAGACAATCAATATTCTTAATTATTAGGAACTTAATTTCATGTCACATACTCACAGCCAAAATAAAATTGGTCCAAAACACTAAACACTTCAAAATATCTTCATCGCATCCCATCTTATTCATACTGTCTCCATATACATGTATTATTCATTCATTGTATTGGCAAATTAACTATCGACGTTTATAGTATCAATTATTTAGCGTTATTTAGTTTCCATATCGGCGAAAAAAAGATTAAATAGATATGGTGCATGCTCGATCGAAAACACGCTACAAATGTTAAATAAAAATGTAAATTTAGAAACAAACTAATTTGAAACTACGTATAATTGGTCTGTAGATTTTACAGTGTTTAATAATATCACAGTCGTACAAACTTATATTTGTGCAACTAAGTTAAACTGTCTCGAACTGATAGGAAAGGATAACTATGACGATAAAAAATTTTGTTCCGCCACGCCAGTGAGCAGTAACGATTTTGAATTTATTTGCGTTAGTGGTTATTATGCTCTTGACTTTGGTTTCAATGACACGCAGATACTTCCAATAATTTTGTTTTGATTTGGGTTGGCAGTCATATTATTCTAATTTTTATGAAAACGGTCCAATTTTATTCAAGTGAAGTAAGCATTACAAACGATTTTAGAAATAGTTTCAAGGTCCTATATAATGACTTTTTTAATATTGTTTTAATAATTGCAATTTTTTATCATCGTCTTAGGTTTCTATTATATTATTTTTGCTGGTTCTTCAAGTGTCCAAGGTTGGTATTTCTCAAGGCTATGTTTTTTTAGAAAATGTTAATCTTAAAGATGCTTGTTTGTCGTGTTTAACCAGTTCTGCATATTTTCTAACCATGTAATTTGACTTATTTATATTATTTTTTTTAAATAGAAAAGTGTTTTTGAATTTTAAGAGGCTAATAGTCCAGTCGTCAAATATTTGGCCTCTAAAAATCATACGAACAAGCTTAATTTTTGCAGAGAATGTCAATTTTGGGAACTCAAATGATATACAAAAAGTTTTATTTTTTTACCCCCTGGCTTCCCCTTAAAAGCCACCCTCGTAAGGGGGTTGAACGGAAAAAATTGATATACCAAGAATCTGTAGGGTGATGGGGGCCACTGGACCCAGGGAGTGTCTTTCTGGGCCATAACGTGTTTCATTTTTAAACTGTAAATGTATTTGCTGTTGGCTGTACTGCAAGAATGTGCCTTCCCTCCAAAACATTAATTCTAACTTTCATACCGTAAAACGGGGTTACTTAGGTCACTTTTGAAATTCAAACACCTTTCAAATCTAGACCAATCACTTTAGGGATTTAAAACTTGGTAAAAAACGTGGGTCAGTATCTAAACTTATTTGTTTAATTACCAAAAAAGAGTGTAAAAAAATTTTTTACCTGTCAAAAAATTTAAAACATGGTGGCCTAAGTTTCCTCTTAGAACGGGTATGAAGAACCAGGCATGATAGATAAATGTGTGGCGTAAGTTAAACACTCACTGGGGTAACTAAACCGTACACAGGCTAAAATAAACAATACTTATGTTTAAAAAAATGAATTTAATTGGAAAAAACATTATTTACTAACATTTTTATATATTTTAAGGTTTTTGAAGATTAAATAATCAATTTAACTCATACAAAAAAGTGTAGTGCCCACGCTTTATAACAATTTGTGATATATCTACATCCATTTCATCAGCATTGTAAGGAAATAACAAAAACAGTCCCAGCAGTTTTTTTACTTTTTTTTTAAGAAACTAACTGACACTTCATTTGTTTCTGGTGATGTATTTAACACTTTTGCATAAAACTGCTTTACAGCTTCTTTTTTGGTTCCCCTCACAATAGCAGTTCAACAATTACAAATATAGCTGATTGCCAGTAATCTCCTCCCATTTCACTGTGGTCCTCGTGGCTATCTTATAGATGTTCTTAGGTTCGGGTTCCTCAAAAATTGTCATCAGTGAAGTCACTTAAAACAAGTTCAGCATCTGAATCTTGCAGTGAGAATACTTCATCATTGTCACTAGAATCAGAACTGTCCTTTCTGGCTCTTTTTGGAACACGGGTTTTCTCTTGATGCTTGCTTTGAAGTACTTGGCTGTTTGCTCTGCAGGGTTATCAATAGAGTCCTTCATATCAATCCGGCTGTACACCTACACCAGGTGGTACATTAAATTTTTTTTCTTTCTTTTGGCTGATTGTGTAGTATCTTCAACTCTGTTTTTTTCAAGGAAGGATTGTAAAGTTGCAGCCCAAGTGTTTCCTAGTCATTTAGGGTTTCTTTTTCGTTCTCCTTAGATCTACTAGGATGCCTCTAATACTTGGCTCCCTGTCAAGAGGTGAAATTCCCGAACCTTTTAAAACCACTTATCAAGTTTTTTGCTATGTTCTCTTCACCCATGTCATCAATACACTTCATCAATATGTCTTGGAATGTATCCTTAGGTATTGTACCACGATTCTTCTCTTTCCAGTCACTTAATGTTTGGCGCCACTTTATTTTCAGTGGCCTAAAAAAAAGATACATCAAGAGGCTGAGTAAAATAGGTACTGTTCGCTGCAGAAGCACAAACTGATGTTCTTCATCTTGCATTCATTAATAAGATCTAGTGAGATGTGGCCTTGCTAGGTTGTCCCCTGTTATTACCTTAACGCATCTTGTCAAACTTCTTGAAGTATGGAATAACTAATTCTCTGAACCAGTCTTCAAAAATTTCCTAGCGTGAACCATCCACTCTTGACCTATTATAAACTGCTCCCTTAGGACACATTCTCAGTCCATGAGTCGTATAAGATTTAGTGCCTTGTACGTTATGTATGTGGAAGTAATTTTCCCATCTGCACTCCCTGAAAACATGACAGATGTACTTGCCTTGGAAGAATCAACGATTCGCTCAGGACGACGTTTACCTCTTCTTACTATAACTTTCTTTCTACCACGATTATCAGTTATATTCGTCTCGTCATAAGTTAATTAATATAGAAATAGAAATTCTTTCACAATCAGTCTGAATATCAAAGTTGTTAGCGTGAATCCCCATTTTCCAGCCAATGTTACACATTCTACCTGCTGGTTTTCTTCAATAGTACTTAAAATACAAGGTCTTCCTACCTTATTGCGTTTCCCTTTCACTGCTGCTGTAAGAGCACATCGTGAAATTCCATACTGTTCAGCAACTTTCCTCAAAGAAAGTCCATCATCCTTCACTGCTTTTTAACCGCTGAAGGCGAGCTTTTCATCCGAATAGTCCTTATACTTTCGAGCCCCAAGGGCCGGTGATAAGTTCGTGGCATAGTATTTGTGGTCTGCAAACAAAGAAAATTGCTGTAACTTTAAGATTTTTTACTTTCATGTAGTATGTTTTTTTGTTGGATAACAAAATGGCTTTTGTTACCTACTGTATGGCTTAAGTAACCCGTTTTACGGTAGTACTTTTGGTTGCTGTGAGAAGTCCAATTTAAATTCGTAATTGTATTTTATGAAATCAACGTGGCGTGCTTTGGTGGGTGGTATTTTCATACTTTTATGAAATCAACGTAAAATGGTTGGTCCAGATACCCCAAGAGCTTTTGCTCTTTCGGGGTAACTGCGGCCCATATCGGGAGTAAACTGAGCCAGGGCCTGGTCCAGTTACTCGCTGCTTTCACTTCTGCGACTATTTCTGTTCATTCATCGTGATTTTTATTTCGGTTTTTAAAACCCATAAATGTAGGATCCCATAATACTCGTTGTTCACGAAATAGCTCAATTAAATGAGTAGTCAGCTCTTTCGACCATTTCATCGCGTAAATATGAAATAACCCCACGTGAACAGAACAAAGAAAAATTTAGTAAATCACTCAAGAACTTAGCAGAATTACTCAATATCACCCCTTGAGCACGGCGATATGACTCTGACGGCTGCTGCTCGCGTACTATGCCAGAGAAATGTTTGAATATACATGTTTTTAAGTGTAGATCAGTCGTGATGTGGTTTTACAACAATGTTTTATAACTTTTTTATGTTTACCGACAACTGTTGGATTACATAAAACATGCTATATAACCAGAAAAATGTTATACAACACTGTGTTTTAAAACTTTTTTATTTACCATGTTTTCAGACTTTTTGATAAATTTCTTGTTGTTCAATTGTACTTAACAGATCTATTTTATTTTTTTAGTTAAAAATCAAGTTTATTATTAAGATACTAATAAAATGGTACAAAAGTGTTATGATTTATGTGATCAATGCCTAAAAGCACTGACTGAAAGACAGTTTCCTTCGAAATATATCTACTTCAAAATTAACATTACTTAATCCATAAATTGACGGAACAACATTTATGTTTAAAAATACTCAATTAGTGAAAATGTAGGTCCTGTTACTAAACTTTTATCGAATAAGAAAGCTGAATCACTTAAATATGGTGCAGAACATGAACGAAAATTACGTGGCTAAAAGTTCCAAACCAAAACCAAAATGCAAAACAAAAAATTTTTTTAAAAGTTACTATTAAAATTCTCGAGATGATCTCAGCTATACCATTTTTCAAAGTAAAACACTTGCACGTCGCGATTTCTACAAAGTGACGTAACTTGTATTTAACAATTTCCAGAACATCAACCTTAGAGTTCAAATTTTCCTAACACAACTAATAATACGAAACCCATACGGAACTGCTCGATCTTTCATAGGCGTCAACATGGTGGAAAATTAGAAAAATGTAATCATCATTAAATGGGAAAATTTTAGAATTATAATTGATTAAATAACCAAAAATATTTGTTATTATTAATAGTATAAAATTTATGAAATAACTCTTTAAGGTCTAATATTCCACAAATTAATAATTTTAATTAAATATATTAGACAATTGTACGCAACTGATATGGAAATACTTCAAATTTTTTTGATAGTTCAGCGGGTGGTAGAAGTGTATTAAGTGTTTCGCTTTCTTAGAGTAGGAACTTTGTTATATGTTTTGATTTCTTACACAATTTGATCATAATATAATATATATTTAATAAATTGTATTTATTAATACATATTAAATTTATATTATTGTTGTGTATTGAGATTGTGATATGCCAAAACAAATAGTCTGTAGATAAAGCTGATAAGCTTTCATATAAGAGATTATTTTGAACAAAAAATAATGCGGGACGTTTTTACTATTAAAGTCCTAAAAGAGGTAATGTTAATATTTAGAATTATAATTTTGTAATAAAATGTTTTCCTCTGTATTTTAGTGTGTGCAGTAGTCTTAAAACTAAGTGTA